TAAAGCCAAATTGACTAGAAATCCATCCTAAATGCAACAGGTGATCAGAGATAGACATCTATATGAGATGAATTCGCCCTTTTTCGTTTAAGGTTATGAAGTATGTGTGATGGAGTGGAGGAGTGGAATATAAACAAGTCCGAAATTGTGATAGGATAATAATGAGGTAAGAAGATGGGGAATAGATAGATGGGCCATGACAGAAAGAAGAGTGATAGCACAACTGCTAGGTAGAAAGTTGGTCAAGCGATTGACTTTATTTGCTTCTTTGACAAGTTGTAGCTTGGTCCTAAAAATGGAAAATTCACTGACGATGCTGGCGAAACGTGTGGAAATGTACCAACTCCATAACCCGATGCTTGTAATGATAATAACTACTATAGCTATGTCTGTATGCTCCTGTAGTCTAGGAGCTGAGCTCAGAGTGACTATGTCCTTACCCCGTAACAGAATAGGACAAATGTAAGCAAAATAAAGGAAATGGGGGGAAATTTCCTTTGCTATTAAGAAATTTACGTGTTGTTTTTACATAATCTCTGCATAATTTCACTATCCAAGAGCTGAATAAGCCACTTTGAAAGAACCCAAGGGCCCGAAATTTCGATGACTTTGACGGATGGAATATTACAGGCAAGAATTGGACAAATGAAAGCACTCATAAAATCAGGTAAGATAATTGCTAGAAGAATGTTTCCTAGCTTTAATGAAATTTAACCAAAGAATAGACATAACGTAAACTCGTGAAGCCAATAAAAATTTAAACAAATGCGCATAATCAAGAAGAATCTACTCAAAATAGTGAAGCTTAAAAGAATGCACCGTTTATGGTGAATACGTTATTTTAGGCAAAAAGATTTATTGAATAATGACAAATTAAAGCTCAATTGCCGCCAGTAAAAGTACAGAAGGAATAAATTTAAACATTTGGGGACTATCAGGGAGAAGTGGAGGAAGCATTTTAAAGGCACAAACCTAGAATTCATCTGAACAAGCACAAAAAGAACCTCAATGGCTAATTCAGATTCATGTAGTTAATAAAAAGTGTAAGATAAAAAGAAGGAAGATACAAGAAATCATATTAGCTTCTATTTTCACAAGCCTTCTAAAATAGCCTTAAAAAATCATTGCTCTCACTAGTTTTGCTGGGACTAGACGTAACGGCCTGAGGTCGTTCCCCTGTGGCCGGTTTTATGGTGGGGATTGTGTCGGTGATGTGAGGACGAGATGATGATAGTGAAGGTATCCCTGGTAGGGCAAGGCCCAAGACCGACTTGGAGAGAAGACGAGAGGCCTTCTGGCGATCAGTCAACTGTGGTAGTGGAGAGATAGCACTTGGAAGATCGGAATCCAAAGGAAAAGAAGTTAAGAGTTGCCGATCTGCCCACGATTCAGTGCGAGAGGCCGTTGTGTTACCGTGATTGGTCACAACAGAGTGCCTGTTGCCGGGCACAGGAACGAAAATGACCACATCGCCATGAGAAAAGCTGTGGTTATCACAAAAAGAGCAATGAAATTGATAAAATGTGATAAGCGAGAGCGAAGGATCAGGGCTGCATTGTCAAAAAGTCGCAGTAGCATCTCGCCATGATTGCCGACCGCACTTACAAATAAAAAAAGCCTTTCATCCAGCTATAAATTAAACCCCATCTCATTCATTCACCAAAAGATTATACGTCGAGCTAGAGAAGTGTAAAGGCAAGGAGCTAAGTATCTATCTTTAGGAGTAAGACTTAATCATGAAGCTACCAAGCCCTTTCCCGTAGATTACCTCTAGTCATTTCCAATACCTTTGGTAGAGAGTTTCCTATTATAATCTGAATAGGCTGAAGAAATGGTGATAAGAGAGACGGCCTTAAAGCTATAGCATTAGGGCACTCTAAATGGTAGATAACAGGTATTAACTTCAGATAATTGAAAATAAACTAAAACAACTTGAACAATTAACTCATTTACAGTAAACGAAGGAATTAATAAGTCGCAAACTATAAGTACAGAGAGTAAAGAAAAGTCTAATTCTAGTTTGTAGTGGTGACATTAGGCTTAAGATATAAATTGTTTGATGGAGGTAAACATACATACATAGTCCTCACACATACACACACACAAGCACATATATATGTATATATGTAGGCAGCATGAAAAAAGGAAAGAACACCAAACATCTGGCAAGAATACAAACCTTGCGTGTATGAAACCAAGCATTTTCGCTTGGTCCTTCTTTGAAAGTTGCGGCAATTTAAGCTCGACATCTTTAGAAGGACCAGGGATCAGGAGCTGCACAAGAAAAAGTTCAAAAACAAGTAGTTAAAATGTTAATACTATTTGGTTAAATTAGATCGCCATTAAGGTTTAATAAAGATTTAAAAGATTAGCGTGTACAAACTAACCACATGTCGAATGCCTATACTCTTTTTATACCAACAAGGCGAAATAAAGAGTTTCAGCATAATCGCCTTGGTGCAACGCTCAACGCTTAAAATCATCATGCGGAGAAGACCCCGACTGTCTGAATAACCTAATAAAACTCAGAAGCAACAGAGACCAAATCAAATGTACCAATAAATACATCAAATTATCTAAAATAATAAACCGAAACCTAATTTGACACCCGTGTTCAATTGTGTTATGAGCTGAATATTGCATTGTTAGGCTAGATTAGTGGAGAAAAGGGGAAAAGGGAATGGCTTGTGCAATAAGTGTTTCAGTAAAGCACGGTGTACGTTAGAAGAGACGTAGGCATATGCATGAGTGGAAATGATCGTTTGCTAATAATGAGAGCAGAAGTAGGCCAAAAGAGCCTCGTATCATTCCACAGGAAGTGGAGTAGCACCGTTGCCAGGCTTCTTAATAAATTTGTGTACAGCCAAGATAAAAAATAGAGAGTGGAGAAGAATAAATCTGAAAGTCTGAAGCTAAGCGATAATCTCTGATTACCATGCGGAGTAGACTAAACCCAGTAGCAAAAGTAAATTGGAACTATCTGTAACATAGCAGGGCCTACGTGATCAGTGCAGATCATTTGTTCCTCATAATAGGAAAAAAGCAAAAAAGGACACAATCTAGGAGCAACTGAACGAACACTTGATAAGCTTACCGTTTGTTCCCGACTGTCAAGCATAGACTCTGTGGATGGGTAGACTGAAAAGTAAAGTGGAAGACAGGGTGCTAGATATAGGAAGGAAGTATGCGATTATATGAGTGAATACCGAAACCATAATACTAGAGGTAAAATATAGATGAAAACAATATAAATGCTCTAAATTAGAACCCGAGTAGAATAAGGTTGATTAGGAATAGTAGTTGAATTTCCTAGCAAGGAGGCTTTAAGATAATATCAAATTTCACTTGAAGCTTTCGCTTCCGGCCTAGAATGCAGTTTCAACCTCGTCTGAGTTGGAAACCCAAAAGAATTCGAAGCCAAGTTGAGCGTATCAAGCAGTAATGCTACAACTACGCCACAGCCCCGGGTGACATTTGGTCACAGAACAGAGGTAACCTTCAGGATAAGCCAGGTCCCTCCAAATAAGCATGTTAGGAGAGCTTAAAATTGTGCTTACAACATACCAAAAATAGGCTCCGAAAGAACAAGCAAATATAGAGTAAAAATCCGAGGCAAAACTAAGTAAAATTTAATGGCATAATGAAGCTTTATACTCATTTATTTGTGGGAGAACTTCACTATTCGTATTAACATCACCATAAGTGACCTAAGATTAATTATATTCATTCTCAGCAAGCGGGTGATAGTTTAAAGCCTACTCAACGGTAGATATTAAAAAAATATTAGATATTTTAATCGAACGTATGACGATAGTGTGGCCGTTAATATCGCCGCGATCTACTTTCGTTGTATAGAAGTTTTTGGACAAGATGCCTTAATCTAGGTCTCCCTGACAATACGACAAAGTTGCGAAAACAAAGTCAAATGAGTGTAATATAGGATATTCTTTAGAGCAACGTGACTGATAAAATAAATGTCAGATTAAAGGGCGAGTGTACTCGGAGGCCATATCATTCAACTTAACATTTCGTAATAAAATATGAAGGAGAAACTGACACTAAAACGAAAACACTTCATGTGAGCTGTTATTCACTAGCGTCATTCACTAGTTGTGCCAAGACTTTTTTAATAATGGCGCTGTAAAGGAGCTAGGTCATTCTCAAACAAACCCTACAAAGAATCGATACTAACAGCAAAATGGAATAATCACTAATTTCAGTTAAGCCGATTCAAGATGATGCATCAAAAGATACAAAATGTGTATACCTCGTCTATTTTGAATGTATGAGGACAAGCAATAGGGACTAGCATCGATACAAAGAGTTTAGAGGGTGATATGAGGATAAGTGGCCTGCTAAAAATAGCAATCCTCACGTCAACTCAGAGGCTAGCTGGCTTCGATTTCCGCTAAGAGTAGCCCAAGAATCCTCTCCACTCGAGTACAAAATAAATGACATAATTGACATAATTGACATAATTTGTAGATCAGCAGTATGAAAGTACATTTCCTACATGAAATGTGTTTATCTGATGCATTTTACTAGTAGGACTAGTAGCGGAAATTGGGATAGTAGTAAAAATGGAGCCATTTCCAAAAAGAGCAACAGAATCAGAGGAAAAAAAGAGAAAACATTGTAGATACGAAGAGAAACTTGGTTTCGATGAATCTCCTGAGATAACATTGTTAGGGGGACCT